CTGGCCAGCTTTAAGGCAAAGTGCATCATTTAAACTTACAGCATATGAATTAAGGATTGTTTGTAATGTAAAAAGACCTTCAGTCTTGCGCTTAAACCCTTAATCTTTAGACCACTGAGCCGGTATCGAACGATGTTAATGTCTAACTTCAACCAATCCACGATATTGCGCAACCATCTTCCATTGTCTTCGGTGGGACGACACAAACTGGGAGGAAGGAACGAGAATAATGACAAAGTTTCAAATCTCTGTGTATTCAACAAAATGGTTATAGGTGGCACAATATTCTCCCACAAACGCATAAACAAAACTACTAGGGTTTCACCAGATCACATTATGGAGAATCAGATCATTCATATTTGCATTAGTAAAAATTCAGAAGGTTAGTGGAAGATGTGAGAACCAGGAGTAGAGCAACTGAAGTCAGCCGCAAAGGGTTGTCCAGGACGGAGTTTGATGTAGAACGCCGGTGGGAGGTCTATGCTCCTCCACAAGGGATAACAGGCGTAGGTAAGTAAGCAAGTAATGAATGAATGAATGAATGTAATTACCGTATGTTTTTATACCATAGGGTTTGTGCAGAATTTTTGACTGTTTGCTCATGAATTATCAAATTGTTTGATGCTTAACTTACAGAGTTGCTCTCTTAGTTTGATAAATAAATACTTTTGAGCCGTGTGGCAGTTTCTCCTACTTGATCTGACTTGGATTTTGATCATACTGTTACGGGAGGACTGAAGACATTTGGCTGATTAAAACCTTTATATTAAATATCATTAATTTCACTGTGTTTTTGGATATATTTGTTTTACTTAACTTCTGAACTTGTTTGTTTATATCATTATTTCGGACATTTTGGTTTCTGTTTGTCTTTGGTTTGGTAATTGGGAGTTTTTTGCTCCGGGAACCTATAAAATTGAAGGTTTGTTTTGTAGTTGTTATAATTATTGTTGTTAGAACGACATTTCGGTCGACTATTTGTGAATTGCGAATAAACTTTGGTACCTAATTTGGATTTTGGTTCTGTTGTTAATTTGGGTTCGTAAATTACAAATAGATCGACATACCGTACTTCAATAACGGGAAGGAGCAAAAACTTGGACGTAACACATACTATATTTTTGAAATCTTAATGTCATTCGTTTGGGCATTCTTTATGATTCAGATGTACAATATTTACTCAACCATAGTGCTCTAAATGTATCTATGTGAAAGAACGAGTGACTGACGCTTAACTATAGGATACACATAATGCAAAATATATCGGTATAGGTAGACTAATTGATTTGACTCTGAATACCTACCGTTCGAAGTTGCTTCTGTTATGTTCGTTAATTGACTAACGCAGAATAAGGTATACAACTTGAGTACCCAGACGTATAGAACCCCACTGTCGCAAAGCCAGAAGACAGAAGAAAGGACCAGAAGTGTTTGTCGGGTAAAAACCAAAATGTACAGGAAATCATGGCTATTTACAAATATTAGTATTTATTATGTCAACACTATAATTCAGCCAATCCGCAAAGAGGTAAGTTTTGCCACTGTCCAATTGTAGCATACCACGTTGATATTCTAGAAAGCTCCATTAAGTTCTGATTGAATGGAAAATCTCTGGATTCTTTTAAAGCCTCTGAAGGCTCCATCGTAGTTCTCGGAAGCCATCCCAACAGTTTTATATCACTTAATGTCTTAAAGGCTATACACCGATATTTATAGTCGAGCAAAAATAAGTTACAGATATGTGATGAGTAGGATAAGAAATAAACACAAATATGCTCACATAAAAACGGTCAAGGCTGATGAGCAAATAATTGACAAGGTCAAAATGTATCTTGGGATGAATGAATAGATTGACCCATCCAGAGTCTGGAATAACCTATGTGGGTATGAAACAGTACTAGCCCCGGAATATTCACCTAGCCGTCGTTTCAATTTTCTCTCGTCCCTTTCTCTCTCAGATTATTTCACGCACTGCGTTCCGCACTTCTCCAGCTATAAGCAAACCCAGCAAAGACTGAAAGTCACATACTTAGTGCAAATGTGCTCAGAAACTTAACATTCAGGGAAGCATTTCTCCAAATAGTCCACGGTAAGGAGCAAAATAGGTATTTCCTCTTTTTTCGCATCTTGTTTCCCTTTGTTCCTCTCAAGTTCGCTCTTATATCTCTCCTCTTGTTTGCTTTGAACATAGATAATAATCACTCAGTACTGCTAAGAATGACAGATATGCGGTCCTAATTCACTCCGTGTGTTCTTGGATAGATATATCCAGCTCGCGCTATGACTTGTTTCAATAAACATCAACTTCTGGCTGGGTAATTACCGTATGTTGCTCTCATTGCTCGTCATGAACCCACCCATTCTTTCATTAACTGCTGCTTAGACATTAGCCTTTGATGGCAATTGTTTTGACTGGTACGACTAGCAAATTACTGTCGACTGTTTGTGTTCCTGCTGAAGTAAGTGTGAGATCCATTTTGAGTGTTTTGTGTGTAAAAATCCCTCCATGTATACACTTTTAGTTTGTTCCTATTGATTCCTTTACTTGTACATTTTGTTATTCTTTTTTATTCCATTTGAGTTGGTAACATTTGTATTTTATCATGGTTTTTATTTTTCTTACGCTTTCACTAAGTTTCCATGTTTCTTTCTGAACTGTATTTATGTTGTTTCTCTTGATACTAAGTATTGGCGGCAGCCATGTTGGTTTGTTCCTCCTTTTGATTGTGCTGCTTGTATTGACTAGAATTGTGCATTTTTGATTGTGCATTGAGGCACTCTTTCAGAAATGAAAACACTCTGTGTTACAAAGCGATCAAATAATTAGTCTGATTAATATAAAAACGGTGCTAATGTTGAGAGATCCATGAGAACAAAGTTCAAGACAACAAAGTGTAATGTTCAGTTAGAGAAAGAAATATGTAACAAGTCAATAAAACAGTAAGAAGTCAAAAATATGTAGTGCCCCCCAAACTTACCAATCTGAGTGATTCTATGTAGTCTTTTTTGGCTCTAGTTCCTGTTACTTCCATCTTGGTATCATACGTTATAAATGTGGTGCTCTGTGGTTTTTTACAATAAGCATCCTTTGGAATTGACCCTAACCATATTGATTTTACCAAACACTAACTACCTGAAGTTGCTTTGTCAAGCATCCACACTATCTCGCTACACTGTCTTATCGATCCGGAGAACAGATTTTCTTTTACACGGCCTCTGAACGCAGTGAAGTAAATCTTTCCTTCAAGCCAACAACACTCTCTTCATCGTTTGTTTTCTGGTCACTTTATTAGAAGATACTTAAAATCTCGGTCGTTCAATCTTATCATATCCAACCTATCTTCAGAACGATCCACCTTTGAGCACCAATACAGCATTGAATGGGGGACAGTTATCTGCCGGCTATATCAAATAAACGTCGACTACGTTGGTTTTTTACCTTCAGGATATCTCGGATGGAAGAGAAGGAATATTTAGATCACCAACATACGTGGGCTCTGTCGATGATTGAGGGTCAACATGAGTCGAACGGAAATGTTGTAGCCTAGCTTACGGTCACAGTAAGAACTGAAAGTATTCGACTGATTTAAGGCAGTTATAATGCGTATTATGATTTGACCGTTTTCTATGAGTTCGTTATACTCAACTTCTGAACTTGTTTGTCTATATCTTCGAATTCGGACATTTTGGTTACTCTCTCTCATTACTTTGGTATTTGTGAGTTTGTGCTAGAGGAACCTAAACAAGTTGTTTCGCAATGTTTATAGATATTACTAAAGCGATATTTGGGTGGATTAATTGTAGTTCGTGAAAATACTTTCGTACTTGAAATGGAGTTTGATTTTATCGTTATTTTTGAGATCGTGAGTTACAAATAGATAGATCTACCATGCTTCAATAACGGAAGAGAACAAAAGATTGGAAGTATTAGTTTAGTATTTTCGAAGTTTTGCTCTCGAATCTCGAAATTGAAGAACGATATATTTGAGTCGATTACTCGAAATGTACAAGTAAAGTTTGGTACCTGAATTTAGTTTTATTGTTATCTGGGGTCTTCAGCTACGAGTTGATAGATTGAACGTACTTTATTAACGGATGAGAGCAAAACTTGGACGAGACTGCTTACGTCGTGGCATCGTGGAGTCCAGGTACTATGGTTGGGTTGTTGGCTTTGCAACACAAACAGCGTTATTACGGTAATACATTATTAAGGGTAGGTAAAAAGAGTAGATTTTGACTACTGCCACTGAGGACAGTTCGGCGCGTGAATTGGTTGACAGTGACCTAGACAAGGATCGGGGAACTGTTTGATATTTAGTGACCCGATTGTCGGATGATTTGGTTAAGTCCGTGACATCTCACTTGCCCTACAATATAATAATCAGTTCTTGATGCACAAATAGGAAGCCTAAAGTGTAACGGTAGGTAAATTCTTAAGATAAATAGTTCTGTAAGTCTACGACACTGATGATGACCTCAATAGTTGTACCGGACACACCATATCTGAAGGCGTTCGGTCACACAAATGCAGCAGATCACAAGTGAATACTCCGTGTTACACATACCTCGCATCAACTGACCAGGATAGATTACACACTTCCCGACCTGTCAACTTCATTTCAAATATTTTTTGAACTCTATTATTTCTGACTCGTAGTCTGACTGGCTTTGGTTCGTCTGATGATAAACGTGATACGAACAGCAGCTATTTGCTGTGGCATCCTAAGAGTCGTAACGATTATGTACTATTTTAAAATTGTTGCTTTCATCCGACATAGCCAGAGTTTAAAGGAAGTTGCATGACGAGAAACATAACTCTCATTTTGTTTCCCTTCTTAACTAATCACTATAAATAAATGCCCAATTGAGAATGAAAGTTTAGGTTTAAGTTTTCATTGCATATTCAAGTCAGAGAAAAAAATGATACCAATAAAGAAGACAACATCTGGAGAGAAGGTTGAGATAGAAAATATTTGTTTTATTGGCCTACTTTACTTGCTCACAATTCAATTTGTGTAGGTCATTCTGCGTACAATTTGGGATGTCCAACGCACCTGGTATTAATATCTCGCTTTATGGGCAGGATCATTTATTCACTTTCTGGAATGAGCTCAATGCTAAGGAGCAATCTGAAATCCTCAATGATATTTCGAAGATAAATTTCTCAGCTCTCGATCGCATTTTTGATGTAAGAGTTTTGTAGTTGTACTAACAATTCAGAAATGTGAATGAGTCGTTATTTTGCTACCAAAAGATTGTCTATTATCAGCGTCTTCACCAAACAGAACTATGTCTTCTGCTTACTATAAGTCAACAGGCGGACCTACTGTGTAGGAAATCAACTCAGTCTCCCAAGTTTGGGGAAATTTCGGGGAATCCTTCAGGGTCAAACGGCCTTTACCGAAGTTTGGGGAAAAACCCAGAATTTTTTGGAAATCCCTAAATTCAAATGACCTTGATCAAGGTTTAAGGGGAATTTCGGGGAAATATCGGGGATTTTCCCTAGGTCTGGGGAAAATTTGGGGTTTTTGTGCCATTTCCCCTAAGTTTACTATAGCGACTTCTACAAAATTTCCACAAAATGGGTCATATTTTCGAAATTGGGAGCTTCGGAGTCCCCAAAAATCGGTCGGTAAAATGACATACGTTAAAATTAATTCTGGCCAATATATTACAGCAATGGTGTGATTGTTCCAAACCAAGGTTCTATAGTTGGCTCGTACTGTAGTCCCGAGTTATCATTTTTACACAAAGTTCTCAACATTTTTTAGGACCTTCATGGGAACCTTTACTGTTATCTTTAGTGGAAAAAAATATTTCAAGTCGTGGTTCTTGTCAGTTTATTATAGTCCAGTTTATCTAAAAGCTACGAATGTTCCGAACTCGTCAGAAGTCTTCACTTATGTGGTTTCAGCGTTAATTACCATGTTTTCGCATAATCTATGTAAAGCGGATTTGTCTTTGAAGATACTCTCTGCTTTCCGGATCGTCTAATATAATATATAATGTCATACATATACTTGATTAAACACTGCTTTTTGGTTTATCAAATAACATTCTGCCCTTGGCTAAACCTAACACTTTTCTGGTCTGTTGAGTAATACCTTTATTTGGAATCGTGACGTTACTCGAAACATTGTTTAAACAAACTTTAGAAAGTTAGTAAATATAAAAGCTTTTGCTTTATCTCGTCTTTTCACCATCAGTAGTCTGCAACTTTACTGTCTTGTCAGATCTAAATTTCAAGTATTGTTCTGAAGTGTTATCAGTATTCCAATTACTTTCCTATTTGGTAAGTGACTACTGACGTATTATCCTTTTTTTACGGGAAGATATACAGTTTTTCATCTGATGGTTTTTGTTCCTTTCATAAATCATATCTTTTTGACTGATTATGCTGCGTTACAACTTAACTCCCATTAATCAATGATGTCAAGTGAACTATGCACTTTTTATAGGATGTTTTGTGTGTAACAGAACATGGTATTACGCTAAAAAGCTAGTTTTCAGCAAGAATAATTATTTTTATAATAGGCTCCTCCAAACTGCTCTTCCGGGATCGATGACAGGCTCTTGCCACCCGATCCAGAAATATGTAAATCTCTGTCGGAGTTGCGCACTTCACAACCTCTCTTACTGGAACGCTATCTCAGTATTGGTAAGCTACTATTTCGTTATTCAATGGGATATTTTAAGCTTTGCGGGCAGTCAGTGAAAATAAAGTGGCAGTTCTATTGTTAGCGGGTGGTCAAGGGACACGACTTGGTGTTTCCTATCCCAAAGGGTTGTACAAGCCGAATTTACCATCAGGTCGTTCATTATATCAACTTCAAGCCGAGCGTCTTCATCGTGTTTCTCAAATGTGTAAAGAAAAGTTTGGTAAAACTCCTTCGATAACTTGGTGAGTAACAAATCTTGTTAAACTAAATGGTTTTCTGTTATTCAAACATATATCTAGATTTATTATAATAAAAAATTTTATTGGGAAATCCAGTACTAACACTGCAATTTGATTGATATGGTTGTGGGTTGAGAGGATTTAGTCTCCCTTTCGAAATCCTCTCATGTGGTCGCACATTTTCAGCGTCTTGTAGGGAAGATCTACTACCTTCATATGGTGGTAGTGCTTTTTTAATAGTGAAAATGAAGCTGGACATCTGGGACCCAGACTGGGTCAGTATATACTGAGGGTTTACCTAGAAGAGTTCATAATCTCGCTTCGAAACCACTAGTGCGCGTTTGTAAAGGAATCCTAAGGGGACAAAAAGGATACAAATGTCCTTTGGCTGAGGTTACCGGGGATTCGGATTTCCTGGCATTGATCTACTGCTTCGTTAATTACACATTTAAGTCGAAGGGTGATCTGGAAAAAAACTAAGTGCTTTATTTTTGGCACCCAAAGAACACTACTGTCTTCACACGTATGATCGTTACCAAAAAGAAAAGTAAAATAACGAACCACTCAGCTGATGCACTAAGTCTCAGAAATAATAAAAATCTATGTTCTACTTGATTTCTTCATTATAAACCTCAAATCTGGACTCAAATACGTCATTTCGCAACCAGCTATCGATGAAATGGATCTGTACAAGACTACTCTCTTTGATGCATCTATCTGGATTCTGACCATGTTCTGGCGTGCATCCACCTCACTTTTCATTCTGGTGGTTAATAGATTTGTTATCTTAAACTACTTGATGTAATTTAGCTACACTCTCAGTTTTAATGGACTACCAAGTAGATCTGGGTTGATAGATGGATTGACTCACTGGAAAGTATAGATAAGCAATGACTGCATTTAGGAGATTCGTATAGTTCTGCAAAACATCCCATTTATAAACACTATTTTCTGGACTCCATACAACTTTGTTCCGGCAGATCCTAAATATAGTGATGCTCGTAAGTCGCTTTCACATAATCTCACAATACCATGGAACCTGGTAATCAAACCGTTCTTACGAGTCGGAGACAGGAGCTGCATTTGGCAGCTATCAAAAGCTGTCTGAAGTCGTCTAATCTACTGCTGGCGAGAAGTCTCACATCAGTAAAACGATTCATGAATATGATCCCATCCCACTTAATAACATTCAAAAGTAGATTGAACTTTAATCCAAGCATTTTAAGGGACAACTCAACTGTCTTGTCTTTGTAACGTCATCCGTATTCTTGTCCTATGCTCCTTGGACAGAGTCCACGGATCTATCTAATGAAGTGATGATCTATGAGGAAATGCAATGTAATACTTCGCTTTGCATGTAATTCGAACCCGCGTCAAATAAAGTCACAGTTAGATACGATACTACTGGGCTCTTCAGTTTGCGATCAATCTTCTGTAGGACTACAACCTTTACACCGACTGATCACTGTGTAACTTGCCTTCTCTATTCCTTTGCTCTGATCGAATTGGAACTTTAACCACTTAGCATCAAGAGATATTACACATAATTTCAAATCACCTGGACTTGTAACTACATTGCAACCTGTTCATTAAAATTCGATCATTACTAAGGAATAGATGCTCATATATATATATATATATATATATATATATATATATATATATATATATATATATATATATATATATATATATATATAAACTTACAACCAGATTTTTATTCTTATTTAGGTATATCATGACTTCTGAGCACACAAAAGAAACAACTGTACAGTTCTTTAAATCATCTAATTATTTTGGACATAATTGTGATAACATTGTATTTTTTGAACAATTCACTCTTCCAGCCTTTTCTGTAGATGGAAGAATCCTGTTGCAAACTAAGTCTAAGCTAACATCAGCTCCAGGTAAGATTCTAATCACTTTTCATGTTGGCTGAAACGACATGACTAGTTTTCTAACGATAAAAAACTAGGTTTCTGCGTTTCATCGTGCAATCGTAGTTACATCGGGCAGTGTTGAATTTCAACCAGTGACCCAAGTTAAACTTTCATCATATATTTGTGCTTGCTTATACTATTTGTTAAGTAATCATGATGAGTCCTTCACTGTTTGCTTAACCTAGATTTACTGTCAAGATAAGTTTATAAGCATAAAAATATTTGTCACTTTAGGGAATGTAGCCGTATAATTTATTCGATCAATTTCTTCATTTCACTATTAAACTGTTGGTGATCATTTCACTGTTTATATTCTGTGTTGTATACCTAAAGATTTATCATATCGTTTACAATTTATAAAACGAAAGTATCAATTAAGTAAGCGAGTAAGGTTACTTAAGTAAATAATTATCACTGATAATGGTATACAATTAGTGAGGTTACTAAATTTTATCATGATCAACATGTTTAAATGTAGTCATGAATGTTAATTATTTAATGGTTTGAAATCAAACGCTAAAAAGCCTTAATCAATAAGTAGAAATCGATACTATTAATTATTAACATTGTTATTCTACCAGCCGAAACTGTAGACCTCCGTTAATTAAAATATCACCTTATGCCTCAAATATATATATTTGTACACGTATTCGTTACTACTTTTCTTCCCGACCGTTGCTGCTACCTTGGCGTGGTGGTCGGGCTTGCCTATCATGGTAAGACTTAAAGCAGCAAACTCAAGATTCGATGGTGAGGTCGTACTACTGACTGTACAGAGGTGTGGCTGCAGGGAAGTATTTCCCTCAGACAACCATCATGATAGCAATTCTGCCTTCCCACAAAGGAAGGGTGGAGTTGGAAAAGGTCGACGCTAAAAGCGCACATCTCGCCTTATTCCACGGATATCCGTCTCCGGGGATAAGGTTTCAACAAGTATGCAGCTAACACAGAAATTACCCACAAAATGGTCGTGTGTTACCGACTTCAAGCAGTTGTCCCTTTGGCACTGCATCACGCTCTCAGGTCACTAAGACCAACTCTAACGCAATTTCCTTTCCAGGTACCTCTAGAAGAACCCTTCCATGGTTTGGACAACCGGGATGTGATAACCGCCTTCATGCCTCCAACAACACTCAAGACCACTTTGTAGCTGACCAACTACTACTTTTCTTAAACTAAGAAAATCAGTATTTTTACTCAGTACGAAAGTGTTCGGCTTATTTTGTGTGCTTCCACATGTACCATCTAACGAATACAACGAAAGTGTATATATTTATTTACGTATTTATACTAGTAATAAATATACATATCCTGCTTTTTTAACTAGATGGAAACGGTGGTTTGTACAGGGCTCTTAAAGAGCGCGGTATTCTCGATGATATGAAGTTAAGAGGAATCGAATATGTCCAAATTTATTGTGTTGATAATATTCTAGTAAAGGTACCGGATCTTCACTTTATTGGATACTGCATTGAAAATAATGCAGATTGTGCTGCAGAAGTTGTTCAGAAGCTAGACCCAGAAGAACCACTTGGAGTTGTTGGAGTAGTAGATGGTCAGTATCAGGTAATCTGTTCTGTTAGTATTGTTTCTGTTTCTTATAATAATATCAGGTTCTATAAACATAATTTCGAAAAATAGATTATTGTCTCTGTCGGATTGATTGTTCACCATTAGATCCATTCACATTTCTTCTACCTCATGTATTAAGCTTTTTAAGCACTTCAACGATTTGATGGGACTTTTCGATTTCGGGGCATGATTTGAGTTCTCTGTTTTCACAAAGACTCCAAAACAGCTTTAACTTTGTCCCATCAAAATGGTTTCAGCCACTCATTGTCCTGGTGTTTATAAACATATCCGACGAATAAGTACAGTAATCAATTTATTGAAGCTTTATTGCTTTTGAAAGTTACTGAATGATTTATTAGTAAGGTTTCTCATCAATTATATCTCTACTTTAAATCAGTATTTCTGTTTGATCATCGAAAATTTGCTCTGTTAATAAGTTCTTAGTTTTATGAAGTGGATAAAATTGAATCATTGTAATTCGTTCTCATTTGACGTTGTGAACTTTGTCTCATACACGCTGTCCTTTAAAGTCTCAGTCTTTGAGAATTTTAATTCAAACCTTATACATATGTGGTGTTTCTGCATTCTAATACAATTAAAAAGTGAAAATTCATCAACTGGTCTGCTAAATATTGCTGTATTTGTAATTAAGTATTCTTCCGTTCATGGCAGTATACCAGTTAAATCAAAAATTGTATTCTAACCTAAACACGTTGAAACTAAGATTTAAAAGTAGCAATTTTCAGAAGAGAAGTGCTATATTGTATCACTTTAGCCTTCATCTTTATGATTATTATGCTTGATTTTCACTATAGGTGTTATGTTTTCACAAAACTTTATTGGTTTTAACTTCATATTAATATTAGGTCGTAGAATATAGTGAGATATCTCCCGTTACAGCAGCCTTACGTGTAAACCAATATGAATCTCATAATAATGCACACAATTCAAATAATGGTGAAACAAGTCGTTTAGTTTATAGCCATGGAAATATTTGTGTACATTTCACAACGAGATCATTTTTGGAACGTGTTTGTCAGGATGATATACAAATGAAAATGCGTTATCATCGAGCTCAAAAGAAAGTTACTTGTATAGATTTGCAAACAGGAGAACTGGTTGTCCCTCAAAAACCGAATGCAATCAAATTTGAAAAATTCGCATTCGATGTTTTTCCATTTGCTAAGTAAGTCATTACCTTCGCTTATATTCTTTTTTTTCTAATTGTACTTCAAATCTTTGTTAGTTAATCTCGTTATTTATTTTAATCTTAAACTGGTTGTGAATTGTCTGAGGAAAGTATTTGTTGCTTATTTGTAAGGGTTTGGATCTCTTTGTCCCTGATTTTAAGGGCTACAGCTTATGAGTCCTAGACTTATGCTATTTAGTTTATTGTCATGGCCTTTTTGCGTTTGACTTATAGGTTCTACAAGTGCTCATATCGATTGTAAAAGTTGTCTCAGTGATATATCATATAATTTAGTGTTTAATCAGTTAGGCCAATAGTTACAAATAACTTGTGGTATGAATGAAGTGTCATTCGTCGAATAATACAGCTGATCGCATTGATTAGATGTTACTAGGACATCTGTGCGCGAGGGGGGGGGTTAGTCGTGTACTTCTCATTTTACGGATGTGATCAAAATGACACAACCAACTTTAGGCTCTCTCTAGACTAGGTCTTATTAACATAGTTTAATCTGCTTAGGTTAACTGAGTGAGAATTTAATCTTTTTCCCGATTGTTTTATATGGTGGTCGCTAATTTTTATGTCGGAATTGCTTATCGCTTATACTTGTAAAACGAAAAACCACTGCAATTCCCCACGACGTGAAGTAAGAACACAAAAAGTGGTACAAGTGAAGATTTATTGAGCTAAAAACACGACAACGACCCTAGTCGAAAATACACTTGATAATACATATCGATTGTAAACCCATTTTGATTATTAATTAGGATGAAATCACATATATGAAAAATATCCAGAGTTATAACAAATTACATGCTACATGTCATGCTACATGCATCGTTCATGTTAATTTAACACAAGAATATCGTATGATGAACAAACATCACACTCAAATAAATTGGTGTTATTCGGAATAAAATATCACACTGGGAGACAAGACAAAACAAATACTTCACTGAGTAATCAGCACATTGAATGAAACAGATGTAATGTTGGACAAAATCACGTTTAAATGAATGTAATTTTACCTTTCCATCCCGTCATATCAATAAAAATCAAGCCTGATAGAAAACTCACATAATATTTTCATAGCTGTCTCCCGTATGCTCCCAGAATACTTGTGTTATTCGTGCTTATTTTAATGTGTTACTATTTCCCTTTTTATATCAGTAAGTATCTTCCTTTTGATCATATTTGGGCAGAACTTTGGTTCTAAATCCCATTTCACTGAGGTTTTTCCTGTAGTGAGAAACTTTCATGATGTCTTAATGATTATCAATTCACACGTGCTTGTTAAACAAACTTAATGTCTAAGTTGAACATTTTTATTGTATAAACTAAAGCTACTTATTTTCATTCTATTTTTGTATTCATCTCAAGACGATTTTTTATATGGGAAGTCCCTAGAAATGAACAATTTTCTCCGCTTAAGAATGGACCAGGTGCAATTAAGGATTGTCCTAAAACAGCGCGACTTGATTTACTTAATTATCATACTGGCTTAGCGGAAAACGCTGGTGCAATACTAGTAAATGATAGTTCTACGTCTAATGGGAATGGACACGTAGATAGTATTCATGACAAGCCTTTAATTGAAATTTCACCTTTGATTACTTACAATGGTGAAGTAAGTTTTATTTACTTTTCATTTAATAAATTTTTTATGTAAACTTACTGTCGACAACTAGGAAATATATTTGATAATCGTAAAATTCGCCTACGATATTAAACATCAATCATTAGAGTTAAAAACAGCTTTGGATTGGTGGTTAAAGCACTCCAACATTCAACCACTGAGTCACAAGTTCCAAATCTACTCCATATGAGTATCTTTCAAAAGATTTCACACAAATATTTACTTGACCATCAAATTACAATATCGCTAATTAGGAGTCACTTCAATATTTTCAAGTTAGATATCAACACCGTTGGATGCTGACCCAATGGTCTATAGGTTAAGTGCTCAGGTGCAAGACTAGAAGTCTTGGGTTCGAGTCTCGCGCTCGGGACTGTGGATGCGTGCTGCCGAGTCATCCCATACTTGTACGAAACGGCCGTCGAATGCTTCTACTTTTCCAATAGTGGTCTAACGTTGATCGGTTCATGATCTGACTGAAACAACGAACAATTTGAATTACGGGTTAATTAGCATTAAATAAACATAGTAAGTTATTTAGTTAAAAAATAACCATGAATTCAGTGTGTTGTACCGAACTGTTTTCCTACCACAGGCTGTTCTATATTATTAGCTGATTATTTTATTAATTAAATTAATAGAAATGATATAAGTGATAGAGTTCTCTATTTTAACCTTTTAAATTTAATTCCATAATTGTTTTAATCAACCGACCAATAAAATCCTTCTTTAAGCCTATCATCCTGACACGCATACAAATCGTTTTCTAAAATCCCCAATACTTATGATAATCTAACCATTTTTTCCCTTATATTACATTGTTTTACTTGTATTGATTCAATTTCTATTGACTTTTTGGCAGAATATAATTTTCGTCTACTTAAGTTATTGATTATACATTTGACCTACATTTTGTATCTATATGGTATAATTAAAAATAAGGTTGGAATGACTGGTAGATCGATTGTATACTAGATTATTGGCAGTGATTGTATTTCGATATGTGACTAAACTGAATAGGTTTTTCTATTTTCTAATGTTGTACCCACACCTGTAATGCGCTGATTGTGATCTCAGTAATTCAATGATGTTTTGACTGGTGGCGCTAAATGATCCTGGTTCATATTTTAGACTGAGTAAATTTGGAAATACATCCTCGGGCATAATTATCAACTAACAGAGTGTCCGAAAATTCCTATAGATTATTTGGATAGTGTAATAAGAAGACGAAGATTATCAGAACTATGTGATATATTAGCACAATATATTTCGAACAATCTGATCACACACATACTTGTTATGAACATTTATGTTTAAAACTAAAAGACCAATTAGACAAATAGGGGTAAGAGGAAACAAAGATAATGAATAAAATAATATGAGAAACAATTTGAAAACTCATCATGCTGGATAATAAGCTAATAATACCAGGGTAGGTTTAAGGTGAGAACAAACATTTGGCTAAGGTTTCAATAATGTAAATGTCTAAATTGGGGATAAATGCCCAATTTGAAAATCTCTATGACCAACTGAGTACACTAGCCCCTACGTCTTCAAATAACCAAAGCTGTTATAAAGCTAAACTGGTGGATATAGCACACCAATTTCATAATACTGGACCAAAGCATAGAAGTATATTACCTTCTCTGCATTTTAAATCACTAAAAGAACTACGAACACACTCCGATATTGTCTTGTTGAAGTCTAATAAAGTATCAGGCGTGGTTATCACGAACAAATATCAATATAAAAGTGAGATGTTATCCATTCTCAGTGATGAAAGTAAATTTATGCCTGACATCGAATTCGGAGGTATTAGCAAACTAGAGGGAAGAATAAATTTAAACCTAATAAAACTGCTACACATGAATATTATTGACAATGAGGAATTTAATTTTCTAAAACCTGTGGGTTCTGAGTATCCTCATTTACATGGATTACTTAAAATTCACAAATCAAACATTCCCTTACGTTCCATCTATATATAACCTAGTTAAATGGCTGGCAAAATTGCTGGATCCTATCCGAAAACGTTTATGTAAGTATTCTCTGAAGGATTCTTTTGAACTGGTCGATCATTTAGGTGATATTAATATCAAGGAAAAGACAATGTGTTCATTTGACGTGAATTCCTTGTTGCTAACTGAACATGCTCCTCGTTATATCATTATAACTAGAGAACAGAACTTAGTTAACCTGTTTTCCCTAAACTCTTCTTTTTAGAACTTAACATGTCTAAAAGGTGTTGAAATTCATGGTCTCAATCGTTTGGAACAAGACATAGAAACTGGTAAACCAATTTTATTTTCTTGTGAAATGAATGGTGACATCTAGTCAAGATGTGTGTGAATTTTTTCTTTTAACACTGATATACACAATAATCATACATACAAATAGTCTTCCCTAGTTAATATATTTAACCACATTCATGCTGTGATTTTTCTATAAAGTGTTTTGTTTCATATATTTTAGACATTCCATATTTCAAACTCTTTTTGTAATTGTTCGCTTATATGTTAATGTTTGAAACTATCTGTTCTAACGTGATTTTTTTTGTTAAACAAAAAAGAAGAAAAAATTCAATTCATTAAATGTTGTGTACAATCAATGCGAAATTCATTTTTTTCTAATTCTATATATTCATTTTACTTTTTAAATGTGCTCAGTGAATATTATTGGTTTTGTTAACAATAATCTATAATACTAAATTATACTGTTGCTATTCTCTCCTTTATTTATCAATTTCTTTTGTAACTTTTATTCTTAAAAACAAAATAAACAATTAAAATTTTATTTTTTAATCTTCTGGTTGATTTTTGCTTTTTTTTAAAAAAAGAGAAAATTCATTTGTCTTTGTTCATGTTATGACTTTTGTTCTTGTTGAGTATCATATGATTAAATCACCAATCAGTATACTACCGACTTATATGACCTTGTTTGTTTTTTAATGCTAAACAATGATACGTTAACTAGTACTAACAGTTATACGTCAATTCTGAATCCTTATTGGTCTACCTACTGAAATATACATTTTTCTATAAATAACCAATAATAATTCATTTTCAATACATAAGTGTTATTAATATTAACTTGATTTTTCATGAATTATATTGTTGAAATCTTTCATGTACCTACTTTTATCTGAAGGTCTGTTATTTATAACAGATGAGAATGGTTATTACACTAGAACAACAGACGATATACCATATAAGGAATAAATGTTTCTAGGAAATACAATATTATAAAGCCATATAATAATAATTTATTACTTAAACACATAAACATTGGTTCAGGTACACACCAAAATATATATGCGCCACACAATAAAAAACTCCGCCTGTAGCTTTTCTAGAGTTACTGCCGGTCCCAAACCCAAGTAAAGGAGGAAGGTTGGGCATGGGGTTAGCGACCCCATCCCGTAGGAACCTAACTCGCTAAAAAAACACGAACCAGGAAAAAATAAGTTAAACTCCGCCATGGGAATAAGAAGGCCTTCATTTAGAAGAAATATGACGCCTCATGGTGAAAACCGAGTTCCTTCGTAAGTCACGAGGCCGATGCCCCTCCTAACAATCAGAGCAACAATTTTTATAGGCACATAGAGCGTCCGGACAATATGGGAGACCAGTCAAATAGCAACGGAAATGAGGAGATACAAATTGGCAGCACTAGGAATCAGCGAAACCCATTGGACACAAGCTGGACAGTAAAGGCTATATACGGGAGAGATGCTGCTATACTCCGGTCGCGAAGAGGGGAATGCTCCACACACTCAGGGAGTTGCTCTAATGCTGTCCGAAGAAGCACATAAAGCATTTATAGGATGGGAATCTCACGGATATAGAATAATCAAGTTTGTGAAGAGATAAAGGAAAGTGAGTATAATAACAAAGAAGAGTAGAGAAAAATGTGAGCAAATGATAAAAATAATTACAGTAATGCATAAATTCAGTTAGGAAAAATCTAACAGGAAAGGATCCTTTCAGATAAAGGTGTTACTTTCAGTTTTATAAAGAAAGCTATAACAAGGTCGCCAAAGGCCTTTATTCTGAGCCATGTGTGATAACGTCTCAGGCAGTGTTGTCCCGCGTCCACAACATCAACTACGGAGTCTCATGACTCGCCACAACCAGCACTTACGCAGCCACCCAGATACATGGAATACTCAACTACTTCTGTCTGCTCACTACCAAGAGTGAGTGCAAGTTCTGGGTCTTGTCAGTCTTGTAAAAGTACTTTGCGCTTAGAACGTGCAAAGTACAGGTCATACCTACGGACACTAATTGCCAATTCATTAACTATAGATTACATGCCTTGGTATCATCTCACAGTAAGACAATATCATCCATATACCCAAGGTCGAATAGTCTTTCTTCAGGGAACAGATTTACACTACCAATACCTACATCCACCAGAGCTGTTTCCAGAACGAGGCCGATGGCAAAGTTGAGGAGAAATGGTGAGGTCGGGCAACCCTTCCCTAACCACATTGCTTGGGTGAAACAATGGAGAGAGGTGGTTGTTTGCCCTTGCTCTGTCTCAGGTGTTTGTATATAGGGCTTTCGAATTGTCAATAAACTTCTCAGGTATACCCTTCTTCAATAGACAATACCAGAGAACAGTCCCGTCCAACGAATAGAAGGCGACCGTGATGTCAAGCATCACTACGATTGTTAGCCTGTATTAAGTATGAAGGTGTTCTAACATTTGGCGGAGGATGAAGATATGATCAATACATCCTAGATCCAACGAAAACTAGCCTGCTCCTGGAGAGTCAACTTATCTCGAGTTTTGAACAATCTACGAAGTATGACGGAAGCCAATAATTTGGACGCGATTGGAAGTAGACTTATCCGCCGATAATTGTTGGAGGAGTGATGTGAACCTCTTTTGCAGATCGGGACAACTAATGACTCATTTTGCGACGTTGGAACACTAATTGCCAGACGTCTGCAAATCATTTAGTCCATTAATCAGCAGGTCACCACCATCTTTAGAAGTGGTTGGAGGTATGTTATCTGGACCTGGTGATTCGTGGCACTTCCAGAGTCGGAGTTCCTCTCGGACGTCGGTCTCGATGAGTGGATCAGTCGTCATCGGGCATGTCGATGTCACTAGGGCATCAGGCCACCTGGACTGTCCGTCGGAAAACACTCCAAAGTCCAAGACGTCGATAGATGTAACTGATTGGTATTCCATCAGCTCCACAAATTGTTTCGCTCACGCCATACTTGTTGCTGCCAGTGACTCGGATGAGTTGGAAGAGCTTCTGGCAGTTAACGGAGACAGCTGCTGCTTTCAACTTGTTAACACCGTGTGACAACCTGGCTTCTCGATCCCTACGCAAACTTTGCACAATGTTATTATGTAACAATCTCCGTTTGTCGTCAAACTGGCGGTTGACCGAAACAGGCCAACATAGTTTAATGTGTTGTAATGTGCCTGTAGAAACCTGAAGTGGCCGATACTTCACCACAACGTAAAACATATTTTCATCAAAGTCATATCGTTTAAGTGTGACGTCATGCATTTAGTAGCGATACGTAATATATTCTGGAAGGTTAGGAATTGTTGTTGTGCTTGTTTTATTCATCAATACTATCAGATTCTATATGATATCTTTCATCAAACGATACTGTACAGATCAAATACGTATATTTTGTGGATTTTTATCGGTTCAGGTTTATACTTCTCCATCTGTCATACAGGTTCATTTAACTTTTCTCATAATGCTATAAAATGTACAACATACTTGATTGTTTTCACAGTCCTATTTGATTTTCGCTATGAGAGTTAGAAATTTAAACCATTTTGAAATTAACGTAAATCATAAAAGGCAAACAAGTGTATGATTTCCGTTTGTTGATATTCACTCTGCATAGTCGTGATACATACTAATAGCATTTGAGATTTTGTGGTTACATGAAAACATTCTCGCTGAAATATTTGTTCGTATTTGTCTACATTGTCACCATTTCAATGTATACACAATGAGCTAGATCAGCTTACTTAAATGAAGATTAGTATTTTGTGTGATAAACGTCAAGTGTTTGAATCACTTAATTCCATTTGATTGTCAGCATGTATGTGCAAATCCGAGTTCGAATCATGGCTGTTCGAAATTACAGTATTATTGATTTCTCCCATAGTCTACTTATTTCTGTGTTACACTCAACATCTTTTAAAATGTATTCGGGAAAACGTTCGAAACGGAATTTTCGTCAACTTAGTTGGCAAATTTTTTTTAAAGATTGTTTTAATACTCAAATATTGATGACATGAGTGGTGAGAATTTTGAGGAAGGGACTTATTTTTCGAGAAAGGCACATGAATTTTTTACAACAATTTTGCAAAGATGTCAGTGTTTGACCAGTTTTTATTTTATATGTTTCTTTCAATGATACTACTCATTAGTATATCAAATCAGAAGTGAAAAATCTTAGGCACTGAACATTCCAATAGGAAATCGTTAATCTATAAATAATTATGTTTATCTTCACAAACGAGTGTTCTGAGTTTTCGAGCAATAAATAGTTAAGTCGAAATATCAAGAATACCTTGTACCTCGTAAAATTCCGCTAAACAAGTTTAACTAAAAATTACGTTATGGAGTGTCATTAGGAAGTTACATTATCGATTTCCTTAAAATTATTTCATTACAATAGATCGTGTTCATTGAAGTAAAATTTGAAATAACGCGTAAACGAATCGATTTGACTCTACCGATTTTGTCAAAGACATTCATTGAGTTATTTCTAATTGTAGTTATTTCACATATCTAACATACAGCCATGTTATGTGAGGGTACGCAACTTAAGGCAATTTTAAAGTACTACAATAAACGATAATCAAATAGTAATTCAATAATTTTATAACTGAACGCTCGATTCGCCTTTCTAAGCTTTTCTAGAAACCCCCAGGCTAACTGTACACGGAAACTTGAACGCGAGAGAAAAAGCGCAAAATGCAGAAAAACCGCTTTAATTCAACGTTAGTGTATGGACAGAAAATCGAGGATATTTATAGTATTTTAGATGGCTTTAGGTTTCTGAAAAGTTCTGGAACCCTTCTAAACATAGTAGCAGATTAGGCGATCATCCAATCTGAAATATAACACGTGGTCCTTCACTTTCCAGATGTTGATTGAATAAAATGTCACCCAGCGTTTTCAGGGCCCCTCTGTGCTTTTTTTTTTCGAGGAATTTTATGGGTCGTTTGTCGTAAATATTTTTGTTACCTTTGAATAATGCGAAGTAAAAAACTGAGTTTTACATGGTCAGATTGATAAAAGTCGATTGGCGATGAACTTTATGATACTTTTGATACATTATATAGGACTATGTTGAGACACACTTCCATCTGGTTACTCCTACATAACTGATACATTTGACGTCTAAACTTAATTATGACGACATAAAAATAAGCTATTGTTGACTGTCCGACTGAAATCTAAACATACTCTGAAAAGCGTTTCTGATTCTTTGAAATTTGATTTCTGTTGAAAACAAACATTCTACCTGTTGACATGTAACCGTAATTAGTACGACTCTGAATAATGTGCAAGTAATAGTCAAACATCATAAACAACTAATAAGATTTCGTGAATTCAGTTAGGCGAAATATTTTGAAACTTTCAGACCTCACCACCACTTTAATATTTCCATATTGCAATTCGCTTTTTAAATCTGAACGAGTTTAGTAAAGCTAAGCACTTGAATATTCACATCTACTTGTAAACTGGAATTTGTGTTTAATTATCAACTTATTTCAGACAGCAATCATTGCATCCATTCACTTTTGTTACAAAAATGTCTTTTTTACTGGAACCAGTTTCCTGATGAAAGAATTTATGGTACTTACAAATGTTTTTCGAGTTGTTCAATATAATTTATGGTACATAGGTATGCCACACACTTACTTAAGCTTGTTGTCCCTCATGAAGAATAGGTTATCGACCAGGATTTGCCGGTAGACTCCGTCCTGATCGATCCTTTCCTGTTATTAACTTTCTTTGCTTTCAATCCGCTGTTTCTCACTGTTGTCTTCTTGTTTTTAGGCTCTAAACATGAAGCATCGTAAACCTTATATGTAACGACCTTTCAATTATCGTGACGGGATTTAAGTGGTTTAAATGTTTTGTTTCTGGTTAAACGTTTTACAATGAGGTGGCTTTTTACGAGGGAAGGCTGTTAACTCCACGCCCAA